AACTGGTCATTGCTGTTTTTTTTTTTTACGACCATCAGAGAAAACTTGCTGGCAGAATTCCTGGACTTGAATCTAGCTTTTTATGGCCGCAAAAAGGATGCTGAAGGAGCGTGAATGTTTTCTCTGTGTAGCATTTTCTGGTTCTCTCTTCTCTTGCCTTGTTGTATCTCTAACATTATAACTATTTGTCTGAAGTGGTGTAGGGTTTCCTGCCTAAGCAGAGGATTGAACTAGAAGACCTCCAAGGTCCCTTCCAACTCTGCTATACTGTTAGACCTCCAAATAAATCCCCCTTCCCAGAATAATTTATAATGTTAGAGATACAACAAGGCAAGAGAAGAGAGAACCAGAAAATGCTACACAGAGAAAACATTCACGCTCCTTCAGCATCCTTTTTGCGGCCATAAAAAGCTAGATTCAAGTCCAGGAATTCTGCCAGCAAGTTTTCTCTGATGGTCGTAAAAAAAAAAAACAGCAATGACCAGTTGCAACAAAAAAATGAAATGGTATGTGGGAATGGCTTTGGGAAAGGAAGTAGTGAAGGGAAGGAGATGCTGCCTAGAGAACGGTCAGATAAGAGAAGGCAAAGCCCGCAGCTGCATGATGGGCAGAGAAAGAGGCTGAGAAGGGACAACCTCCACTCCCAGTTCTCCAGATGTTATGCAGATGGTGAGAGATTTGTATTTTCAGATTTGCAAAATGCAGGTAACCTGGCCTTACCACGAAGTAGAATTAGCTCATCTGGCCATGCCTCTTGCTGGTTTAAACCAGTGGTCTCCAATCTTGGCAACTTTAAGACCTGTGGACTTCAACTGGCTGAGGAACTCTGGGAGTGGAAGTCTACAAGTCTTAAAGTTGCCAAGGTTGGAGACCCGTGGTTTAAACAACTGTTTCCTTGAAGGCAAATGAGTGAGGTTAATTGCTCATCACTCCCACCAGCTCTGCGAATACATCCATTGCTCTGCTGAGAAGAGGCTGACTCTCATTGACTCTTTCTTTCCAAGGCTGCTGTGGGTGGAAGGTTTAACCAAGCAGCTCTCGAGGCTAGCCCCTTCTCTCCGTAGTGCCATGCTACTCTTCCTATTCCTTTTTTTTTCAGTTGAAGAAGCTAAGATGGCTAGTGAGGAGAGGAAGCAGCTGGAACAGCTGCTCGGGGAATTGCCCAGGGAAATCAGTTTTCTCTGCAAGATCTTGCAGTGGAATAGTGGGAGAATTGGAGCATTGTGGGTGGGGATGATCGAGCGTGTAGGAACTCTGTGTAGCAACAGTATTTAGGCAGGTCACGATAACGCCTTCAGTTCTCACCCGAGGCACAAATGACCAGACTCAAATTATCTTACTTTATGTAAGCACATTAGGTGAAAATCCTTGGAAAAGACTCTAATAGAGGTAGTCCTCGGCTTAGCACCACAATTGATCCCAAAATTACTGTTGCTAAGCTAGACATTTGTTAAGTGAGTTTTGCCCCATTTGATGTCTTTTCTTGCCGCAGTCATTAAGTGAATCACGGCAGTCCTTCAGTTAGTTAACACGGCTGTTAAAGTGAATCAGGCTTCCCCATTGACTTTGCTTGTTCGAAGGTTGCAAAAGATCATCACATGAACCCGGAACCTTGGCACCGTCGTAAATACAAGTCGGTTGCCAAGCCTCTGAATTCTGATCCCGTGATTGTGTGCAAGGGTCCTGGGTGTGTAAAATGGCCATAGGTCGCCTTTCTTCAATGGCATTTTAACTTTGAATGGTCACTAAATGAAGCGTGGTAAGTCAAGGACTACCTGTGCTGGGGAAAAAAGAAGGAAAGAGGACAACCAACCGCAAGGTGGATGGACTTGGTTATGGTGGGGATGAATGCACCGTTGGCGAC